AGAGTAGGGTTGTTTTGTCAATTAAGATGGATTCCTGATTTTCGGTTTGTTTATGTTGGGTTCTTTGTTTAAAATTACCGTGTTTTTAATAGATATACTATGGTTTTTTGAATTGCAATCGAGGAAAACATTGGACGGTTTTTTATTGTGTTCTGTCAATCTGGTTTCCAATTTTCTTCCTGTTTCTCCGATGTAGAATTGTATAAATAAGCGATCTATGTACATTAAAATTGTAAAGAATTTTAGATAATTTACGCATGATTACAGTTACTGACGTAGATATTTTCTGTTTTTAATGAGATTTTTCAATAAAAAAGCAAATTCATGAGAATTCACTATACCATCATTTTATATTATACGTTTGCATACTGAATACGTAATGAAACACAAGGTGCTTGGAAAGTCCGTTTAATCAAGAACCTCAGATAATTACTTAACGGCAGTGGACTACATAATTTGTCGCAACAGAAATAGATAGCTGTGCAGTTTATTTGTTGCTACGCTGAAAACTACACAACGGGCTATCTGTGCACTGCCCGTCACGAGGACTGAAACCCGATTTTTAGTGTCATAACTCTGCAGACTTTCCGGTGAGCCACCGGGAGGTGGGGCTGGTTGTGCAGAGACAGTGAAAAGAAAACGTGAGCAAAGTGTCCATAAGTGTTGAATGATTATGGAGTAGGCTCTGATCTGTGAAAATGGCTAAATAAGTTAATGACGAAACAAATATATTAAACAGAACTGAATTTTAAAAGCGTTTATTCATATTAGCTTAGAGATTTCTTAAGTCACTTTTCTCAACGTCACGACCCATAGTTCCCATTCTTCCTGGAAATATTGTGCAATAAGATAACAAATAAGCTCTTCTAAGTACTACAGATATATTAATATAATTTCTTGTACGTATTATGTTAAGATATCATAATTTTAAAATGTTATGAAATATTTAACATTATTTTCAACAGCTTGATTAAGATATAGATACATAAAGGAATATCGAACGCAATTTGTTACTTTCCTGCATAACCTCTTTGACTGGGCACAGATCTATTAGATATCCCAAAGTTCAGTAAAAATCATATTAAAGTCCCCCTGTGGCACAGTGGTATGTCTGCAAATTTACAGTACTGGAAACCGGGTTTCGCTACCCGTGGTGGGAAGAGAACAGATAGCCGTTTCGTGCTTAATAATAAAGAATAACAATTATTTAAATACTAAATAGTAGGTGATGGAAATAAAAGACAATTATTTTGAATTCTCAATTAAAGAAAAATTAATGCTTTTGTGAATATTTCTAGTGTCTATATAAGGTTACAGAGATGTTGATCATTGTTGTGTGTGAACAATGTTATGATTAGAGATAGTTAGTTAAGGAATTCTTCCTTGATTATTATTTATTCGTTAGCTTACAGAGATGTTGATCATTGTTGTGTGTGAACAATGTTATGATTAGAGATAGTTAGTTAAGAAATTCTTCCTTGATTATCATTATTTATTCATTAGCTTACAGAGATGTTGGTTAGTGTTGTGTAAACAGTTTTATGACGTGAAACTGTGGGCTAAGATGTTCTTCCCTAATTATTATTTGTTTATAAATTTACAGAAATGTTTGTTCATTGGAACCCTGGGCCAGATACAAAGTGCGGAGCTCCTCGTAATATTCGACAATTAAAAAATGCTATGTTATGTTAATAGGTTTTGCAGCTTCCTCTTTAAGAACCATACATAAAATTATCTGTACAGATCCTCCATAGCGAGGGTCTCTAGGCAGCAGCCTTGCATTAAGACCGATATGTATATACATATAACCTTCACACCTGTTTACATGGTTATACATTCCTTATTGCGCCATTTAATGATTTTGTGTGCCGGGTGTTGCCTAATGGTTAGCGTGGCTGGCTATGTATTTGAGAGTCCATGGTTTGCGTCCCATTGTCGCAAAATTGTGCTTCGCATTTTGGTGCCATGGGTGCGTCATAAGAGTGACGGTCAAATACAAAAATCCAAGAGCTGGCGGTGGGTGCTGTTGACTAGCTGTCCTTCCCTCTAGTCTTTCACTGCTAAATTAGATAACCCTTTGTGTAGCTTTGCGTGAATATCACAAACAAATAAACGTATGATTATGTAAATACATACCATCTATTATAATCACAGATTAGGAAGTGTTTTTTTATTTCTGAGTAGCTGAGAGCCGCGAAATGAAAGTGTAAACAAACTGATTATATTTTGAATAAATATATTAGATTTTTAGTAGGAAGAGAACAATATGTGATTAAACCGAATTAAAAGTTTAATTTTCAAAATATGTCTACAATTACAGTGAAATTACTTACTGTTCATAAAATACGCAT